AAGTAAAACTATTTTACCCTATGCATTCCTTTTTTAACTGTTCAAATACTAAAAAACTACTTTTAAAAGAAGATATTTACCTCCAAGTCCATCATCTATATCATTTATGCATCTGGACATGCTTGACCCATATTGCCTAATTTGGACTTCATGAACATCGTTATAGGCTTCAGCAAACCCACTGAATGAAACCCAACAGTGATTGCTTAAAAAAGATTATAATCAACAAATGTTAAGATCTCAGCAAATCAGCCTAGCCTGTGTATATAAACACCCCTTGTGTGCCTCCATATAAACACCCCTTGTATGTGCATGTTTTTTATTTCAAATATCAATTTAGCACACTAAGCACAGCAGTTTGGCAGCAGCAAAATCATTTTTAGTACTTTTTAGTGATTTTTCACATACATCTGGAAGTCCGCAATCGACATCACCAAATGCTGTGAAGGCAAGAAGCCCTGGTATTGGTAAAATTGTCCCAGCTCGGCTAGCCAGGACAAGTCAGCAGCTCCTATTAATATAGTCACCAGCTCCTAATATTCTAATCATGGTTAGTCATATAAATATAGGTATGCTCACCTCAAAGAAGGAAACCACTTGTATAGTTTTGCATCAAAGTAGGTCACATTGCTTACTTCGATGAGCTCAATGTTATATGTAGACGGGTAAAAGCGAGATCCTGATTCGTCACTGTAATTGCATATTCCATACACGTAAGCGCAACATCTACATTCTAACGTAATTTTCGTGCATGGTATGGGTCCTTCTAACGTGAATAGTTTAGCTTTCGATGGATTATTTCGTACAGTGAGATCTTTCTGACATTGAACGCATCTGGCCACAGGTGGTGTCAAAAATGTATTGTATGGCAAGTGCTGCGCTTGTGTAAGCTTCCACAGATTATCACATTCTTTCTTCTCAGAAAGAAAGATGGGGCAGTAGGTTTCCACAAATTTTACATACGTCTGGAAGTCCTCCATCGACATATTTTTAATTCCCATATGCTGTGAAGGCAAACTCTTGAACGTCGTAAACATGAAAGTTGATCGCAAAGAGACGCCGTTCACAACACGTGGAATATTCTTTGGAACGTGTTGAACGGCGTTACGTAGGTTCAACAGTCCTTCGATTGAAAGTTTAGCAGCTAACAACTGAAGAGCTTCGTCCTCCATTAGCATACACGCGTCCGACATTAATCGTACTAGGTCAACTTTGTTCACAGCTTTCAGCCGCTCACGAACAGTATTGAGATTTCTCTTTTCCTCTTCAAACTTTGATAGCATATTATCGAAGTCAAACATACCCGACGTTCTCTTTTTCTTCGACTGCGCCATGAATAAAATGCTTTAAAACGCAAATCTCAAGCCACACAACAGAGACAATGCTTTAAAATGCAGAATTCAAGCCAAAACAACAAAGATAATGGTTTTTTAAAACGCAGATTTCAAGCCAAACCAAACAACATTGTCAGAGCAAAAAATTTGAATAACATGTGCGTGGTACGGCCGTGTTCGCATAACATCTATTGGGGATTGGGAACGGGTGATTTGGGCACGATGGCACGCGTGCTCAGCAGACTTTTTCAAAACTGTTGGTGTATCTTAGGCATCATTTGAATCCATAGATATCTTATATATACTAGATAGCACATCTCTTTTAGTAAAATTGAAGCCAAGAATATTCCAACGGTTACCCTCCAGTTGAATAGATGGCGGCCATGTTGGAGTTGTGTACTTATAGGGATAGCATAACAACTGTGTACTTATAGGGATAGCATAAGTGATGATGGACAATTAGGGATAGGGTTAACAAGATGGCGGCCGTGTAATATAAAAGCTTGTATACAGTTTAGTGTTGGCAGATATGTTGTCTAGAGCACCACTCTCTAGTGTAGACAATAGGAAACAGAACAATTTTGATGTGTTCAGACTGGAAGTTGAACGACTTGATGCCTTAGCAAATCCGCAGCTTCTACCAAAGACAACGATAAGTCTTCAGGCTGCAACAGCGAAAGATCGAGATTTAGCTCAGCTGTTGAAGGTGATTTTGTCAGGGTGGCCCGATATAAAGTCTCACCTTCCAAGTTGTGTTAAGCCATACTGGTGTTTTCGTGATGAAATGTCTGTTCACAATAGTGTAATTTATCGTGGTAGCCAAGCTGTTATCCCAAAGTCCATGCGCAGAGAGATGCTGATGAAGATTCATGCATCGCATGCAGGCGCAGAAAGTAACATACGAATGGCGAAGGACATTGTTCACTGGCCTGGAATGCAACCTGAAATTAAAGATATGTGTCAAAGTTGTGGACAATGTGCTCAATTTGGAAGAGAAAATACAAGAGAGCCCATGAAGTCACAACCTATCCCACAATATCCGTGGCAATTTGTAGGTCAGGATATATTTCAGTTTGAATCAAGTAGTTATCTGGTTACAGTTGGTCATTATTCTGACTTTATTGAACTTGACGAGTTGGATAACACATTATCATCAACCGTTATTAAACACTCGAAGTCGCATTTTGCTCTTCATGGTATTCCGGAGGTGTTGCTTTCAGACAATGGACCGCAATTTGTTAGCACGGAATTTGCTGCCTTTTGTGATCTTTATGGAATAACACATATAACATCGTCACCATATTGGCCAAGGGGTAATGGAAAGGCGGAATCGGCGGTAAAGATAGTGAAAACGTTTATGAAAAAATGTGCAGATATCCAATTGGCTCTCCTTACTTATAGAAACACCCCACAGGAGGGACATTCATTAAGTCCAGCACAGAGGAGTATGGGTCGCAGGACTAGACTTAACATTCCAGTGTCCCCAGAGATGCTTGGGCCTGATAAAGTTGTGTCAAAGTTGGTAGTCAGAAATCAGTCTCAAAAGAGAGAAGGCGAAGAAGTTTTATGACAGGAAGACTGGGAATGAACATCCAAATGTACCAATTGAAAGCTATGTCTACAGCAAGCCATGCCCTTGTAATAGATCAAGACCATGGCAGTAGGGTCAAGTCGTGAGGAAGCCCGCATCAAGGTCATATGTAATAAGTACTTCAAATGGTACTGTGCGAAGAAATCGAGCACAAATACACCAAGCTGCCCTTCCTTCACCTCAGGTGAAAATGAATGATGATATCAAGATCAAGATGCAGATGCCGGAAGATCCAGGTAATCTTCAATTGTCGGACAGTCAGTCTACAGCCCCTGAGACGCAAGGGCAGTCACAAGTACTTAGTAAAGAACCGACTTCTTCTAGTAAGGAGTTCAATTTTTCAGGTGATGATTCTAATGAAGGATCTAGCCTGGGTACATTGTATAAAACAAGATTTGGAAGAGTAGTTAGATCACCTAAGATCTTTGATCCTTCAGGTTAATTTATTGGATAATTATTTAAATTAAACAGATCTTTGATCCTTCAGGTTAATTAATAGGATAATTATTGAAATTAAACATTTTTGTTAAAGACGAGAAAACATTTAAAAAAAAAAAGAGAGACAAAGAAGCTTTATGAACAAGGGAGGATGTTACTGTGTACTTATAGGGATAGGGTTAACAAGATGGCGGCCGTGTAATATAAAAGCTTGTATTTTAGTATTTTGTGTTATTAGTTAATAAAGTCAGCTATAGTAACTCCCACTCGCTAATAAACGCTTAAAAAACAACAATAACTTTCATCATTTGAATAGTTTGAAAATGTATTTGGAATAGGTTTACCTTAATATTCAAGTTCCGTGTTTAAGAAATAGAAAACATACGAGTCTTCTCATTTCATGGGAATATCCTGAGTCTGCAATCACAGCTTCAATTTTTGAATTGCAGAATAATTAGATGCACTATCTAGTTTATACAAGATATCTATGGTACAATCCAAGCGTGAAGAGTGTAATATGAATGAGATATTTTATGGGACGAAATTATAAATTGCCTCGTGGGATTAGTAAGTGGTGCATGTGCTTTATTATAACATGCATATTCGCAAGTAATCCAACTCTTTTAAAGTTTTATTAGCCAATAATTATGACGGAAATGTATTTTCTTGACAGAAATGGTAGGATAAGTGAAAGGAGCTTTTTACTTAAAATTTAATCGTTTGTCATTAATTTGCGAAGTTCTGTTGCCGACAAATTAAATAGAAAGCCGGTTATTATATAATAAAACACCAAAAAGTGTTTGAAAAACGAGGCGCACGCTAGCCGAGTTTTTTACACCCACTGAACAGCTTCTCTCATATTATTAATTTGTTGTCAGGACAACTTCTCTCAAATTACTGTACGGCTAATTTGAATTTCAAAGGCATCTTTATAAACTGCTAAAAATATTAAAATTAGGTATACCCATATTGCTGTTCGGGCTTGGATTGTGCATCTGATTATTGCATGTGACAACCTTAAATCAAAGAACTGTGTACAGGGTGTTTTCATGTGATGGCGGCCATGCTGGTGTCCAACTTCTAAGTACCAACGTGTAACAGAGCGAATATAATGAATGTGTTTATTTTGTTAAAAGTACTTGGACACCAGGTTTGGGAATAATTAACAGCGCATGAAAACATCCTTTATATGAGTAAAAAGACGAAGAGATGATTTCAAGTGTAACAGTATATTTACTACTTACATTTTCAGCTTTCAAAGAAAAGGTTAAATGTTTCCTTATCATTATATGCCACTAAACTATACTGCTAATTTGCACAACAAACGCTAAATCTGGCATTGTACTTTTTCCAGAGTGCGCTATTAAAATATACAAACGCAATTAGTGAATATAAATATTGCGGTAATATATAAACGTTAAAGAACTATTAGGTCTCCGTTTACTAAATCTTCATACAACTTGTCAAGGGCATCACAGGTGATGTCACTGTATCCATCATACTTGATTTCGAATGTATTTGTTTTGGTATCGAATTTTAAAACTCTTCCTTTGTATGTCTTCTTTTTTTTGTGCACTATGTAAACATGTGATGTTTTTTTCCAACTAGTGATGATGCCCACTTGGTTTTAGTATCACGTTCATTATCTACTAAAACTAGAAAATACATGCATGCAGAAACCCTCGCCTTGCTGACAAAACCATTGTATTTTCCGAACCTGAAGTATCTAAAGTAGTTGTCATGGTAACACGATAATTTTTTAAGAATATTCTTAATACAAATGAAAAATCGCCTAAAAATATCACTTTTAATTACAAAATTATTAATTTCCCAACATATATATGTTAGGCATGTTATTATACGTAATAT